TTAAAGTTGCAGGATACAAATTAAACACACAAAAGTCAGCAGCATTTTCATCATACATCAACAACAGATTTTTTTTAATTAATTGACATAGTATTGAGTAAACAATATGTTAAAAATAATGCAAGTTCAATTCTTCAAAACACATGGGTTGAGACAGTATCAATGACAGGTTCAAAAACAAACAAACAAACAAAAATTACAGGTTAAATTAAGGCAAACATGTGGTATCTAACCTTTTGGGATTCGCTCATTTCCCTTAGCATTATAGTTTCCAGTTGGGCCCATTTAGCCACAAAGAACTGCATTTTGTTTTTTTTAATAGCTGAGTAGTATTCCATGGAGTAGATGAACCAAAGCTTTCTTATCCAATCTTCTGCTGATGGGCATTTCGGTTGCTTCCATGTTTTTGCAATTACTGATTGTGCTGCTATGAACATAGGGGTGAATGTTGGTTTGTCGTGAAACAGGTGCTTTGGATATATTCCTAGGAGTGCTATTGCTGGGTCATATGGTATGCAGATTTTGAGTTGTTTAAGTGTTCTCCAGACTGGTTTCCATAAAGGCTGTACCAACCTGCAGCCCTACCAGCAGTCTCATTCACAATAGTTACGAAAAAAATACAAGAGCAAATTCAGCCAAGGAAGTTGGAAGATCTCACAATGAAAGTACAAAACACTTAATAAACTGAAGAAGAAACACAAAGAAGGAAAAATGATCATCTTTGTTATTGGAAAAATAAATATTGCTAAAATGTCCACACTACCCAAAGCATTTGCAAATGCAATTAAACTTGTATCGAAATGCAAGTGCTGACCCCATTCTTCATAAAAATGTTTTTTAGAAAAACACTTTTCTGTAGAACCAGAGGACCTCAAATGGTCAAAAGCACATTGAGGAAAAGAAACAAAGTAGAAGGCATCCCAATACCTGATGCCAATACATACAAAATAGGAGAGTAGCTGCATAAAACTGACATAAATGAAACAGAATAGGGAACTTGGACATAAATTCTCTTATGTAGAGCTAACTGAGTCTCAAGAAAAGCATAACGCATGCATACATTAAAGACAGAAAATTTCCTCAATAAATCAACCCCAGGACCAGCATCAAAGTGCAATGGGTTAAGCCACCACCTGTGATGCCAGCATCCAGTATAGGTGCTCTTTCAGGTCCCAGTTGCTTTCAACACAAGTCCTAACTACACCCAAGAAAGCAATGGAAAATGGCCCATATACCTGGGTTGGGTCCCTGCTGCCCACATGGATGATCCAGATGGAGTTCCAGGTTCCTGGCGATTACAGTCATTTGAAAAGTGAACTAGCAGGTGAAAGATGTCAATCTCTCTCTGTATGTGTGTGTCTCTCTCTCTGCCTGTCTCTCTCTTTCTCTTTTTCTTTCTTTCTTCCTCTCTCCCTCCCTCTCTCCCTCCTCCATTTCTATAAATCTGCCTTCCAAGTAAATAAATAAAATTTATGTAATTTTTTAGAAAAATCTATTCAAGTACTCGGCACAGTAGCCTAGCAGCTAAAGTCCTCACCTTGCACGTGCTGGGATCCATATGGCCGCCAGTTCTAATCCTGGCAGTCCCACTTCCCATCCAGCTCCCTATTTGCAGCCTTGGAAAGCAGTGAGGATGGCCCAAAGCCTTGGGGCTCTGCACCCACATGGGAAATCCAGAGGATCTCCTGGCTCCTGGCTTTGGATTGGCTCAGCTCCAGCCATTGTGGCCGCTCGGGGAGTGAATCATAGGACAGAAGCCCTTCCTCTCTGTCTCTCCTTTTCTCTGTATATCTGACTTTCCAATGAAAATAAATAAATGTTTTAAATAAAAACAACTAAAATGGATTAAGGATCTAATAAGATCTATGAAACTATCAGAAGAAAATCTAGGGCAAACATTCCTAAGCATTAGTATAGATAATCAACTTTTTTTAAAAATGATTTTGCAAAAGCACAAGAAACAAACCAAAATAGACATAGGATTATTTCAAACTAAAAAGCTTATGCACAATAAATAATCGGCAAAATAAAGAACCTACTTACAGAATAGGAGACAATATTTGCAATTATTCATATAACAAGGAAGTAAGAAACAGAAAATACAGGAAACTCACAGAATGACAAAAATTCAGAAGTGTCCTGGTTGATGCAAAGAGTGTCATTCTTCCCTCATTTATTTTAGAATTTTTACACTTTGTTAAAATCTTGGATAACTGATGAAAAGAAAACTCATACTCATTAAAAGTTACCTATATAGGCCCGGCACAGTAGCCTAGTAGCTAAAGTCCTCACCTTGCAAGTGCTGGGATCCCATATGGGCGCCGGTTCTAATCCCGGCAGCCCCGCTTCCCATCCAGCTCCCTGCTTGTGGCCTGGGAAAGCAGTCAAGGACGGCCCAAAGCCTTGGGACCCTGCACCCACATGGGAGACCTGGAAGAAGCTCTGGGCTCCTGGCTTCAGGTTGGCTCATCTCCTGCTGTTGCAGCCACTTGGAGAATGAATCCACAGATGGAAACTCTTCCTTTCTATCTCTCATCCTCTCTGACTTATCAATAAAAATAAAATACATCATTTTAAAAATTACCTATATAAAGTTATAAAATACTTGACCTCAGAAAGTACATCATATATGTCAGAAGTAGCAGTAGCAGTAATAATGCCATTTTAATGAATCTTTTTAAGCCATCCTTCCTACAAGAAAAACTGTTCCTAAGTCATCTATACAAAGATACTTCGTATTTTGATGTTCTAATCCTTAATTCCTCGCAAACTGAAGGTTAGAGTTAACTTAGGGTTAATTTTTCCCCTTTGAACTTTACGACAAGTTGTTTACAAGGTAAAATAGAGGAAATACTGTGATTTTATAAAACAGAGACACTTGATAATGCTGAATTCATCTCTAGGTACAGCAGTAAATATGAAAGAAAAAGAGGGCGATGCAGAATCTTTCAATAATACTTTGAGTCCCAGGATACACTCTGGGTAACTATTCAGTACTGCTAAGTTCTCATGACCCTCTGAACTTCTATGATTGTTGACTTCCTCCTTAGTCTTTGCATTTCGTCTTGGCCTTCCTCTGACATTACAACATAAGAAGCACGAACCATCACGAGAAGGAATATTTGCGGAGGGTACTTCAGTGCCACAAGGAGGTATGATTGCATTTTTAAGATGAGCCTTATCTTTTCAAGTTGCAAAGTTTAACAAAGTAGACATCATTTGGACTGAAATATGGCTCAATTCATGTTTATTGTTTGCTTTTTATTAATCAATTAACGGCCCATTTATTTTATGCTAAGATAGCTTTCACTATACTGTCTGAATGCTGTTACCCCCGCACACCTCTGCATTAACACTCATCTTAGCTTTCCAAAGGAATTTCCTGTTCCCACAAGGTTGCAGTCATATTATTGGAAGATCACAGTAAATGCAGTATAAATGAATTAAATGCTGTTTCAGACACATAAAGACATCATTGATTAAATGAGTGGATGGTCCTAAATGATCCAGAGACCTCTAGAAGTCACTAGTGGCTTGAAAGTTTTATACTATTCTTTTTATGGTCTAATAAAAGTCGCTGATTTGATTTAGTTACAAACAAACAATTGAACTTATATATCAAAATTTATGGGAAAGTGTATTTCAGTCCTCTATAAGTGCTGGGAAATTTAGAAATGGGATTAGAGGTCATATGTTTCTTTGTATGTTTTACTGTTACTTAGTTTCATCTGGCATCTTTAATTCCAAATCTGATTAACTTCAAGTTTATTTAGAACATGTAACACAAATAAATGATTACTTTATGTCAGTAATGCAGGCACTTTTTAACCTTACAGATTTAGTACTTTCTTTAATACTCAAGGAAGCAACTTACACAGTACCTTCAGGCTCTGAGACCAGAATTATTTTAAATTATATGAGAACAAAAAGATGACTCCAAAAGGATTTAAATGATAAATGATACCTTCAAAAATAACTTGCTTTATCATTCATTTCCTTACTCACTGAACAGTCGTTGAGCACTTATGCTGCTCTGCATGGGATACTTACTTATATATCAACCAGATCGCCTGGGAGAGAGAACATACACATTTGTACAAATCATTGGTTTGCAAAACAGAATTAAAGTCCCCTAGAATATCAAAAAAGAAATTGCTTTGAACACAGGCTAGGAGAAGGTTTGGTCAAGAAGGTACAATTTGGACTGAAAGGTGGGTAGTTACTGCAGATGCATTGATAAGGAAAGCATACTTCTACAAGAAATATTGTGAGAAAAAGACAGGAAGGTAATAAAATTTGTGGTGCATGTTTCTGGTATAGTAGGACAGTTGCTTCCTAGTGTTTGCAAAGAGGAAAAGTGAAAGATAAACTGGGAAAGGGAAGTTGCCATCACTGTAAGGAACTGTAAGGTTTAAAGAACAGACCAATAAGTCTGTAGTTCCTTCTGAAGGCATTCGGAAATAATGGAAGAATTTGGGGGTTTTGGAGTTTTTTGGAGGGGGTTGTTGCTGTTTGGGAGCTGTAGAGAAATTGACATGAGAAAAATCCATGAAATATTATAAGTAAGTAAAAGCCAGATTATAAACTGGTAAATACAGCATAATACAAATCAGATGAAACACACAGAGATATTTATACAAACACACATACTATGCAGATAACAAAACACGCACCAGATGGTTACCAGTACTTAACTCTCTCTTCGTTCTGAGTTTATGGATGGTTTTAAAGTATTTTATCATTTCTAAACCTTTTCATAATTACATATTATTTTATAATCACAGAGTAAAAATAAAACATTTTTTCAAAAGAGACGAACAACAAGAGAACTTCTATTTTTGATAATCAGGCTGATTAGATATTCTATCTGACTCTTGTTGAAAATAAGAAATTCTGAGATAAAATGAAGAAAATTCTGCTCCTTAAACATGTTGCCATAAACCAAAAACAAGGTCAAACTGGAAACCCAGGTAGGTAAGTAATGACTAAAATGTCTTTGACTCTGAGCTATATGCCAAATTCTAATTAATTTAGCTTCAGATTCAATAATAATTCAGTCATATGATGAAGATTTTAAAACAATATCATGAGCTATTTGGAAGATACAGTGAATGTGTGGAAAGCCATTCTGGAAAGAGTTTGTAGCAACACGGCTTGAGGACTGATGGTGGTGCAAAGGGCTGCTAGTAATTATCTAATGCCTTTAATGTGTGGTTGTTTGCAAGACAATATGAAACAAAAGGTAGAAAAACGATTCAGGAGCCTGGGAGATGTTCAAACGCCATAAACCTTCACTTACACGATGAATAAATTATGGGATCCAATGTGCAACATGATGACTACAGTTAATAGCAATTTATTTTATGCTTCAAATTTGCTAAGGGACACAAAAAATTCAGTGATGAGTTAATTAATTAGACTATGATATTCATTTCACAATGTACACCTAGGTAAATCATCGCATTGTGAAATGATTGTGGTAACTATTTCACAATGCATATGTATGTCAAGCCATCACATTGTACATTACATCGTGCACATATATCAAGTACATGCAACTTTTGTCAATTATACCTCAATAAAGCCAGAAAAAGGAAAGTCCGTATCAAAAATCTCAACAGCACCATCTAGTGCCTCACAGAATAATATTGCCCAATTTGGAGAAAATTAACAAAAGGCTAACAAAAAAGACTGGATTAACTTCAGGCAGTTTTCCATCCCTCCACAACTGCATCTGAATTCAGAGACAATCAGAGAGGCAGGTGACTAGAAAAAAAAAAAATGTAAAGGTTAAGAATGGTGATCTCATTTTTCTCTCTGGTCTCAGAATTATTCCTTTTCATGTTTTGTAGATTATACCAACAGTTCTTGGGACATCTGGGACAACTGAATGCATAGATGACACATCCTCAACAACAAATATAACTTTTAGGAGCTGTAAACCTGAGAGGTCATATTCCACCTACAGTCACTTCCGTAGCTGTTTCTATACCCATGATATAGGAGCAAGATCAGGCCCCTCTGTTGCTGGCAGTTCCTGCACGCTGAAGCAATCTTTCCATCTTACAAATGCCAGTCCCTCTCTAACCTCTAATCATGGAGCAGGAATTGTATGAAAGGCCAAAACTCAGATTTTCATCAAATATTATCTGTCCTGTTACATATTAATGACTTGAGTCCCACCTTCATAAATAAAAGGAGCATCTCAAGGAACACCAAACAGATCACTACTCCACACTATCTCAAACATATTGTCTGGGTGCATAGAGGAATCAAACCTGTCTCCTGGAGATAAGATGTGCCTGAATCCCTCCTCATGGCCTTACTATCCTTGCTTCCTGCTGCCGTCAAAAAGCATAGAAAGTGACACCATAAAATGAAGCTAGTACTTCCTATAATTTGTGGTGCATCAAAAACTGACAACTTTCTTTTATATTCCATTGTATGTTATAGGCTCCAGGTGAAAATTCCTAGAAAAACATGGATCAAGCTGGAAATCTGACAGTGTCTTCCGCCAGTAATAATACATGCCTTGGCGCTATTGAAGACTTCCGTAATCAAGTGTATTCCACCTTATACTCTATGATCTCCGTTGTGGGCTTCTTTGGAAATGGTTTCGTGCTCTATGTCCTCATAAAAACATATCATGAGAAATCAGCCTTCCAAGTTTATATGATTAACTTAGCAATAGCAGATCTTCTGTGTGTGTGCACACTGCCTCTGCGGGTAGTCTACTATGTTCACAGGGGAATTTGGTTCTTTGGAGACTTTTTGTGCCGCCTCAGCACCTATGCCCTGTATGTCAATCTCTATTGTAGCATCTTCTTTATGACAGCCATGAGTTTTTTCCGGTGCGTTGCAATTGTTTTCCCTGTCCAGAATATTAATTTGGTCACACACAAAAAAGCCAGGTGTGTGTGTGTTGGAATTTGGATTTTTGTGATATTGGCCAGTTCTCCATTTCTAATGAACAAATCTTACAAGGATGAGAAAAACAATACCAAGTGCTTTGAGCCGCCACAGAACAGTCAAGCTAAAAATCATGTTATGATCTTACATTACGTGTCATTATTTATCGGCTTCATCATTCCTTTTGTTATTATAATTGTCTGTTACACAATGATCATTTTGACCTTGCTAAAAAAGTCAATGAAGAAAAATCTGTCAAGCCGTAAAAAGGCTATAGGAATGATCATAATTGTTACAGCTGCCTTTTTAATCAGCTTCATGCCGTATCATATTCAACGCACGATCCACCTTCATTTTTTGCACAATGCAACAAAACCCTGTGATTCTGTTCTTAGAATGCAGAAGTCAGTGGTCATAACCTTGTCTCTGGCAGCATCAAATTGTTGCTTTGACCCCCTCCTATATTTCTTTTCAGGGGGGAACTTTAGGAGAAGACTCTCTACATTTAGAAAGCATTCTTCGTCCAGCATGAATTATGTACCCAAGAAGAAGACCTCCTTGCCAGAAAAAGGAGAAGAAACATTTAAAGAATGAACTCATCCCCAGTGCAACATAGCAAAGAGCTTCACAAGTTTTTACTTCTCAAATCACTTGCAATCATAATAAAATTTTCATTAATAATTTACAAACGCTTAATGTTTGCCTATAAATCTCTCATTTATTGCATCCACAATATCAAATATTTTAACTTTAAAAAAGCAGACCATGACTATAAATTAAATTACAAGCAGGTTTTTTTGGTTTTTGTTTCATTTTGTTTTGTTTTGTTTTGTTTTACCATTTACCAGAAAATGGGAGATATTTGTGTCTTCACACTGCAAACATGAATTTGAGATCAAGGTTTTCCTTTTCAATATCCCAGAGCCTATGAAACTGTGTCACATAATGCAATGTAATTAATAAAAATAAATAAACATTAAAAAAAGGTTTTCCTTTTCAAACAAAACTGTAAAAAGGGTAAGAACTAGGATCATAAAATATAATATTAGCAAATAGTTCTCAATCATCCTAACATATCCTTTGCCTGCATGCCATTAGATGGGGACTAGAGATGGTCCAGAAGCTACATAAAATGTAACTTCAGTCTCAAAAAATTCATAGTACTGATGGTCTGTGCAAGGCAAGACCATTTATTCCAGAAGAAAATACACAAATAGCTGTGAAGGCTCCAGACAGTGTTCAATCTGGAAACTGAAGGCAATAAATCTAGTCAGAAGTCAGTTTGTTTCCAATTTTCTTCTGCCTCTATTCAGACTCATCAAAAAAAAAAAATGGTGAAGCCTTTGTGGTCACTAAAGTTCCTATAGGGAATTCTCTCCCTATACTACATTCTCTACATTCTCTCCCTATACTACCTGTACTTCCTTTAAGAAGCCAGACAACTGGCACTCCCACATATGAACAAAAGCTATTAGAATTTTATATGATGAAACATAAAAAGGAATCTATGTTTTACATGCCTAGTACTGTAATCAAAACATTAACTAGAATTGACCTTGTAGGCAAATTTTAAATTTCCATGTTATAATTTTTTAAGGCGTGCAAGTGTTTATGTATATGTGTACAACTCACTGCATGTAAGCGGTTTTGCTGTATGTGTGCATTTATGAGTGATAGTTAATTATTTTATTATTGTTTCTACTTTTTTTCTTGGCATACTGGCAGGAACATCAAGGCTGTGTTTACTCCACTTTTTAGATTAAAGTGGTAACTGTCCTTAAAACAGCAGCAACAGTTTGATTATGGCTTAAATATAATATTCATGTGAAGGTTTTGCTGCACATTAGTCTGTTCCTTTGCATTTCAAAAGCCTGATTACATCAGAAGAAATAATGATGAGGAAAGAGAAAACAATGAAAGAAAAAGTTAATATCTGAATCTGCCATGTGTGTATACTATTTCTATTTCATTTCTAATGTTACAGTCCCTCAGAAAAAAAAAATCACAAAATACCAAGAAAAATGACCTGAAATGCATAGTAAAGACTGGTGTACATATATTTTTTGGTTAATGTACTTGAGACTTAGAAGTATCTATACTTTTACTTTATACATTTTTCACTTGCATGACACAAAGATGAGAATATTCGTAATATTTATCGTAAAGGTTAGGCCTTATTTTTTATTTACTAAGCCTTCTGTTCTTCAGCAAACAGTATAGTATGTTAAAAAAAAAAAAAAGCACTAGAAAAGATAGAAGATCTGGGTGTTAACCTGGTCTCTTACTACTTAACTAGTTGTGACATAAGCTGTGGTCCTCAGCTTATTTGTCCTGCCTTTTTCATAAGGCATTTGTGAAACTCAATCAACACCAAGTATGTTAAAGTTTTGCCTTAAAAATATATACTCGCAGAGCAGATACTTGGCACCACAGTAAAGATGCCACTTGTTCCACCCACAGCCCATCAAGGAGTGTCTGGTCACAAGCCCTGGCTCTGCTCCCAATTCTAGCCTGATAATGCTGACTAGGGGAGACAGCCTGCGATGGCTCAAGGAGTTAGTCCCTTGTACTCATGTGAGACATGGATTGAATTCCTGGCGCTTGGCTTCAGCCTAGTTCATCTTCAGTTGTTGCAGGCATTTGAAAAGTGAACCAGCAGATGGGAAATAGCAATCTCTCTTCCTTTCAAACATATAAATGGAATTTTTACTATAATTTTAAATACTAAAAGATGACTGTGTTACTCAAATTTTTTCATATTTTCGTATTCTCGATTTTCAAAAAAAAAAATAGAACAGAATTTGCTCATGTGAAGAGTTTTGTTGCTAATCCTTACTTCAAGGTTTTTGTCCATTTCCTGATTTTCAGTTATAGTTCCATTTCCTGTCACATAGAAACATATCATAAAACCTTAAATCATCTGCAGACCCAGCATGAATTTGTTCTTTTATGTCCTGCATATTTATAATCTACGCCACACTGCTTAGCACTTAAATTTTCCCAGTTTCTCCATGTGTGTGAACATTATCTTCCAAAGTGGAGAGGTGTGGAATTACCAATTTCTTAAGAAAATCAGCTATGTTTCTAAATGGTATTGTCTAACATTTAATATGTTCTAAGCTACAGGTTATACTCCTTTTTATCTTTCTTTAGTTTGTTTTTGATGATATTTACATGATCAAACGTTGATCAGGGTGGGAAGGGAAGGATCGAGGATCGGGGGATAGTAAAACCCTTGTTTACACATTTTCTTTTTCTTCTTCCAGTGTATGGGGGAGAGGGGGATATAATAGGAGAAACCACACCAGTCTCCCAATCTCCACATTACCCGGGGGAAGGGTAACTGCCATCCAATATCATCCCAGGGTCCCCATTGTGGAGCATTTTCTGAGGGTTCCACTCATGTGGTTTTGATAGTTCTGAGATGCTGTTGATATCACTGCTCCAAGGATGAGGAAATCTTTCCAAGGTCGATTGGCTGACATAGTCCACCTCCAAGTCTCCATTGGCCCAGAAATTTGCTGTCAAGATTCACTGGGATAGTTATCAGTTTGTTCTACCCTCTACCCTCAGCAACCCAATGGGTGCTGCGGCCCAGCGCAACCCTGCCCAACACAGGCTTGGCCCTCATGTACACCAGGGGGAGCTCCAGCCCAGTCAGAGCAACCCCAAACAACCCCCACTGAGCTGGCCACCAGCTCTGGTTCCTGTGCCTGCCAGCATGTGTAGTGGATTGGTCCAGTCTGTCCCACATCCCATTCAGCTCTCATATACATCACTGGTCACTGAAGCCTAAATCAACTCAACCAATTCCACCCTCCAGCACACACTCATACCAGCAGGTGCCATCTCCTGTCTACCCAGGCCCACCCCTAGCCCTGGTTCTCATGTTCACCAGTGGGAGTTACTGCCTATCAGAAAGGAGCCCACTATTTCCCCACTGGGCCAACTCCCTACCCCAGATCTTGCATTATCCAGGTGGTTCTGCAGGCTAGCTTGACAGGACTTGCCCCCAGTCCCAGCACTTGCCAGCTGATGCTGCAGCAAAGATCAACTCACCTGCCCTTATTCTGGCTCATGACTGTACCAGTGGATACAATTGGTTAAACAGAGCCTGGCTCTTCCCCTAACCCAGTTCACCTGTAGGCCAACAGGTATTATAGCCCTGCCCAGCCTGGTCTGCCCCCAGTTCCAGCTCTCATGTTTGCCAACATGAGTAGTGGCCCAGCAGTGGAGTCCCATGTCATGTTCACCCCCCCTACCCTGGTCTCACGTGTGCTGACGGGTGCTGTGACCCAGTCTGGCATGGCCCATCTCACCTCAGCATTTGCCAGAGGGTGTTGTAATCTGGTCTGGCCGTGTCTACCCCCATTCCAGCTCACGCTGGTTGGAGCTGCTGCCCAACTTGGCATATTCAGCCCCCAGTCCTGGCCCTAACGTGTATTGCTGGTGGTACAGCCAAATTCAGTTTGTCTTGCACCCCACCCAGATTCTCATGTCTGCCTACAGGTGTTATGAACTAGCCTAGACTGGCTCATCCCCATACCTGGGCTACAGTTACAATGGTAGGTACTGTAACCTGATTTGCTCTGGGCTGTTCCTTACTTTGGTTCTTGCGCTCACCTGCAGGAACTGTGCCCTGACAAAGGAGTTCCTCAAGCTCCTCTGTCATGCCTCTGCTCAGTGGCAGATCTCTCACACATGGGTGAGTCCTCAGCCCCGGCTGACTTAGTCCATCTCCTTTCCTGGCAGGAACAGTACTCTTGTCCAACTGGCCCTTATCCAACCTGATTCTTACTTTTGGGTGTTACAGCCCCACCATGCCTGGTCCACGTCCTGATGTAGCTCTTATGTGGCCCAGTGAGAGTGGAAACCTAGTGCAGCCTGTCATACACCCATTCTGGCTCTCACGAGCACTGCTGGATGCTGGAGTCTAGCCCAGTCTGGTGCACCCCAGACCCTGTCCACACTCATGCCAAGGGACACTGAAGCCATGTCCAACCCAGGCACCACTCCTATTCCAGCTCTCAAGCTCACCAGTGGGAGCCACAACTCAGTTGGAGCATCTCCTTAGCTCCCCAACCAGGCCTATTTCCAGCCCCAGATATTGCACATGGGTTGTTCCAACCCAGCTCTGCAAAGCTCCTTCCCTGTCTTGACCTTTGTCCTCGGATGTTGCAGTCTGGCCTGCCCCAGCCTGCCCCTAGTCCCAACTCTTGCTAGCAAGTGCTACAGCTTGGCCATTCCTAGCCTGCTTTTATCTCTGACTCATGGAAACCAGCAGGTGTGATAGCCTAGCCTGGTATGCCCTGCATACCAGCTTGGCTCCTGCACTTGCCAGTGAGCTAAGCCTGGCGTGGCCCTGCCCAGTCAACCCTTTCCAAAACTACGCTACACACGTGCGGACAGGCAGAGCTACCCTGCCTAGGCTGCCCAACACCCAGGCCTAAATCACATGCTCACGAGTGGGAGCAATGGTCAATTTCGGAGTTTCCCTGGTTCTGCCACCAGACCCATTCCCAGACCCAGATTTCACCCATGCCAGTGTATGCTAGGTCATATTTGGCCCCCTCCATCCTACGCATGTATGAACAGTGGATGTTGTGGCCTGGCCCACTCCACACTGTATTCTTGGGTGTATATTCGGGTGCTACAGCTTAGACTGAGCCACTTGTACCCAACCCTAGTGCTAATGGGTGACAGGGAGCTCCA